TGTGTGTGTGTGTGTGTGTGTGTGTGTGTGTGTGTGTGTGTGTGTGTGTTTGGCATCCCCCTTTTCCTTTGGTTTCACTAATGAAATTGAAATATGTAATTTCACCAAAGTTCCTCCGTAATTTAGCAATTAATGTACAATTATTTTAATGCATTACTTTCTTTTTAGCAAACAAACAAATTAGGAGGTTGCATGTTTTGCTTGGCTTTAAATTACGGAAACTAGCCTCTCATTTTCCACGTGGGCAAATGCTGCTGGTGTAACACATTTAGATTTACAAAATTTCCTAGAAATCCAGACTCAGGAGGGTGGGCAGGCAGGCAGGCATGGTATAAATTTAGAGACTTTTGCAATCGAGGCTCCGAGCCGCTCAGCTCTGTGTGCTGGCTGAATGTGAGGCTCCCCAGAGCCCAGGCAAGTGGAGGCCCCGGAAACAGCACTGGAAGATGAACAACGTCTTGGTAGCAGGCTGATCCAGGAACAGAGCCCCAGGTCCACGGTCTGATTGTTCAGTCTAGATTCAAGGGCCATTGGCAGAACAAGGAAGAAAAGGGGGAAAGAAAAAAAAAATAATTGCATCGAGTTCTGCCATGAACGTCACGTCTGTGGACAGCTGCAGCAGACAGAGGGGAATCTACTCAGAACGCTTGCTTCAGGTTTTAAAAATAACCCGCTGAGATACGCAGCTTCTATTCAGCAGCCTACGAGCTTCTCAGGTGAGAAGAAACCCACTGTTGTTAGCGCTACGGATTTCTTTTAAGGTCGCCAGCCTCTTCCCATTAGGAGCTCCATCCATCTCTGGTGGCCTTGTCCTCCTACAGCTGGAAAGGGTTTCTTCCTCTTCTGGCCCATTTACCACCCACCCTACAGTACCAGCTCCAGGACGAGTATGCATCTGGTTCAAATAATACCGGGAGACAGTTTTCTTATTAAACACCAAGCCTTCTGGCCACCACTGGCAGGCTGTCACTCTTTCTGGGGTTACCACTACCTTTAACAGCCCCCCTGTTTTGTTGATACTTTTTTTTTTATCTGGGGGCTCAGTATGGCAACAGATGGCCTAAACATATCAGCAATAGCGAAAACAAATACAAAGAAAAGAAAACACACACACACACACACACTCACACACAGGATCTCTTCCCACATATTTACATTTCTCTGCTAGGCTGGCAGTATTTGGGGTGCGGGTCTTATTAGGCCAGCAGCCTACCCCACGCGTGTAATGACCTCCTCATGCTGCGTGATCACTGGCTGCCGCCCCCAACACTTTCCGACGACACGGTGAACTTTAAATTGGCCCTCCAGTCTCCCAGTGGCCTGTCAGTCACGAGAATCGCATCTTTATGCTAGCAAGCCCCTTGGATGGAGTCTGACATTGCAATCTTCAGTAAATTACCCCGTCACTGACAATCTTGCAAACAATCAAGCAGGCAATCAAACCGCTCTGAATTGCCGGTTCAGGACCCGAGAGGCTAGGACGTCTCCATCCAGCCGGGCTGGAAGCCACAGGCCCTCTGATGACGCTGTCCCATTTCTTTCTTTATTTATATACCTACTTATTTGTTTGGCTGTGGTTCCCTCCTCCCCCCCTCCCCTGAGAGGGTAGAGGTGGTGGTGGGAGAGGTTTGCAGCGACCATCAACAGGACCTTTATTCTGGCTCAGCAGCTGTGACTCCCCAGGTGGTCCGCGGTGTTGACACATCTGCTCATGCTTTCGTGTCAGCTTTAGTTCACCCTGTGAGAAGTGGCCTCGGAGCCCATCATAGGTGCTTTCCGTCAGCGCTGAGGCTAAATCACAGCTTTGGCTGACGTTTCTATGCACATATATCGTGGTGATTGGATTGGCATTTTCAGGGAAATGTGGGCATGAAGAATCTTTCTGGGAATAAGACTGGGCCCATTTATTTATGTATGTATTTATCTATATTCTAATATTAATTTAATTTAGTTCCCGCCACACTAAGGCTCTTTAAAAAAAAAATCACTTTTCTGTTATTTTCTGTTACTGTTTTGGTAGAAGGCCTTACGTAATTCACTCTATTTGTAGCTGAGGATGACCTTGAACTCCTGATCCTCCTTCCTCTCCACCTCTCAAATACCAGGACTGCTATTGTACACTACTGCACTGAGCTTAAACTTCATATAAAAAAACAAATCGCTTTTGATAAAGAAAATCAGAGAGACTCTTCCAAGACAGTCTAGTAATAGGAAGTGCATTCTTTGGGTGAGAAGTCCTAAGGGAGATAGCCACATCCCCCCCCACAGAGTAGGAGGCAAGGGCCTCCTGTGTGGAACCAGATGGATTTGTGGTGGAATTTCATCTTCCTTGGCCTCCTCCCAGCACTGCAAGCTAGGCCAGATGAACACCTTCGCTGAGGCTCAGTTCGCTCGCCTGTGAAACTGAATTATCAGGCTGGGCGGTGGTGACACACGCCTTTAGTTTCAGCACTCAAGAGGCGGAGGCAGGCAGATCTCTGTGAGTGTGAGGTCACGCCTGGTCTACATAGCAACAACAACGACAACAACAACTGAGTGATCATAGTGTACGTGCTGCAGAGTTAGGAGGCAGGGAATAACTGACTTGATACATAGAATATCCTTTTATCATACAGCACACATTTAGTAAACTATAGGTATTACCAAAAACAGAAGTTCACTGAAGTTTTAAACTCATTCTGCTTAAAAAAACTGGACAAGAAAAGCAATAAAATTAATATCCCTTTATACATAGAGTCATTCATTAGGATGGACCCTGGGCTGGTCAAATCCTGGCAAGCTTGCTGAGTTCCAAATAATGACAGGTTAGGAGTGACTGGCCATGAAAATAGATGCTACGGACCAAGCAGCACTTTCATCTTTTAAAACTTTGAATTCTCACAGCAACTTTGCAAAGGAGAGTAATGCAACCTTGAAACCTCAGACCCGGCACTTGAGTTTGAGTCTTGGGTTGCCCTACTGTTCAACTTCTGTGGACAATCAGCTGCTTTCGGCCTCTTATCTTCCTCATGTGCCAAGTAGAGATGATGATGATGTGAGGAAGTGCTGTTTAGAGGATTGAATCAGCTAATTCTCAGTCCCCTGG